TTTTAAGCTATTTCAGATTCCATTTTACCTAGACTGTATGTACAATTTTGTGTATGTATGAAATATTTTCTAGGTAAATAAATTATTAGTATTATTATAAGTTGCAGCATGGTGTAATTTGGCAGTATGAATCCTACTTATTAGGAAAGGCAAATTCCAAATAGGGAGTGTGTGAATTTCATATTTATGGGTTTTTAAAAAGCACATATGGATTAATCATCTTTCTATTAGACTATTTACTAAGGAACGCTTCCTTATGTTAGTAATCTGTAATTATGTTTCTCGTCTTTCACAGGAAATGCTCAGTAGTGAATCCCGCGAGTTTGAACCATTGCCATCCCATCTTGTATGTCCACTGTCAAAAGAGTTGTTTGTGGATCCAGTGAAAACACCTCATGGTCATGTGTATGAAAGATATGCTATTGAAGCACACTTAAGTAAAACAAGCATTGATCCAGTGGCTTTGAAACCTCTTGTAGAAGATCAGTTGGTACCATGCTGCGATGTCAAGAAATTAGCAGAAGAATATAGGAGTAGTCGTATCAAGGTGGATGCCTGGTGGCAAGAATAAACTGTTATTTACATAGAAACACTGATCTCATCAACTCTCAGTTCTTATCAGACACAGAGACTTTTAGGTGAAAGTTATAAATCTCCACTGCCATCCTTGTTTCTGGTTCCATATGTATTTTATTTTAATATAGGAGTAGTCGTATCAAGGTGGATGCCTGGTGGCAAGGTTAAGCTGTTATTTACATAGAAACACTGATCTCATCAACTCTCAGTTCTTATCAGACACAGAGACTTTTAGGTGAAAGTTATAAATCTCCACTGCCAACCTTATTTCTGGTTCCATATGTATTTTATTTTAATATAGGAGTAGTCGTATCAAGGTGGATGCCTGGTGGCAAGGATAAGCTGTTATTTACATAGAAACACTGATCTCATCAACTCTCAGTTCTTATCAGACAGAAAGACTTTTAGGTGAACGTTATAAATCTCCACTGACAATCTTGTTTCTGGTTTCATATGTATTTTATTTTCTCTATTAATAGTGCATCTCCAATAGAAGCGCATGTAATTTGACAGATGCATTAAAATATGACTTATTTTGACCAAAAAACCCCTTCACTATTTACGTAAGCACATGTGCTTTTAATAGAGCAAATTATCTAAAGCTGTCAGTTTTCGTCAGTCAATAAAGTGTAAATTATTCATTTATGTTAAGAGAACAGTGTGTTAACCCTAAGTGTCAAAGTCAGTGTTTTATTTTGGATAGATTTTTATCAAACTTCAAGACCTATATGCACATGTATATGTACAGTGACTGGTCATTTGCAACCAAGAATTAAATTTGTTATGAGGCAGTTAGATGCAGGCTGGCATAAATGTATACCTATGACGGTCGATAGTTAATGGAAAATTATGTCCAAATTTACAAAAACAATTACAGAGGAGTACATAGAGGTCTGTAATGTATGTAATTCAAAATTATGGGATTCAAAATTTGACTTGGAATCAATGAGAAGTAATAGGTTTTAGTAATTTCTATAAATGATCTTGTAATTTTTAATCTACTATACAAGGTATTTTAATTGTTATATCTAGTTTTAGTTGAATTAAGGGCTTTATTGTTCAGTTTTATTGTAGTATTGTAACACTGCCAGGAATTATGGTCTTACACCAAAATTCATAACTAGACTTTGTAGATACAGTGTTTTCTCCAGAAATAAACATGTCAGGTGATCAGGATACTGACTGTGTCATACATGTGTGGTGGTAAACAAAGCACTATGGTGGTAACCACCAAGTGGGTGGGATCCTGGAATAAACACAGATATTCATTCAGACAGACAAGTAACAAGATTATTACCCCAAAGTTTCTGAATACTTGAAGACATTAAAGGGCGGCAGTCGTCACGTCACGTTCGATATGGGACTCATAGCGACGTATACAACGCGTGTAAAATACATTGTTAATTTACATGAAATTCGAACACGTGCTGCGCGACGACTACTGCTCTTTAAGTATAATTTTGCCTCCATCTATACTTGGTATCTTTACATGTTTATGACCTTTTCTGCACTTTGCTGGGTGTTTGAAAGACAAACAATGAGTTTCTCAAATTACATGGTAATATTTTTAGAGGGGGCGACTAGAAGGACAGCAACGCTTGAGAAAGTGACTGCATGTAAACCTGTTTTTGTTTTAAACCTTATTGTTTGACTTTTATTGATTAGATTGGAATAGTGTTTTATTAAATTCTGTATTGTATGTCAGATGTTATGCATTATAAGCATATTCTGGTATAAATTTAGTTCTTGTACACGTATATTTTCAGAGGAAATAGGTGAATATCAAACGAGGTGAACCAATAATTTGTTGATGTTTTCATCATGTACACACACAAATTAAATGTCATGACAATCACACACAATCATAAGGATATATATCTTTCATACACATGTTTTTATGTCATTTTATGTGTTTTTATGTCATTTATACCCGGTATGTATATTTTCTATTTGCCTTTTTTTGCTTTGATTATAATGAGTTATGATATAGTAGAGGGAGAACTTTGTCTGATGATATTGTTGTTGTCATTGATAATTGTTTCTGTGAGCATAATATAATTTCAATATTCATTCTACCCAGTACTTGGTTATACTATCGATCAGTATTAAATCTTGATCAAGTATGATGTTGGCATGTCTTGTCTTGTCTGTAAAATAATGTAAACGCATTATTCATTCACTGTTTTAATTTACGCTATTTTTGCTTATATATAAGTAAAATTTTCTAAATTAAACTCACATGAAAATGCTAAATTACAATAAAACACATTGTTTCATTGACAAATTCATAAAAAAAAACAGTGAAAGTAAATTGTGTTCCAATCTGTCAGTCATATTTTCCTGTGTATGCTTCATTGGTCACGAAGTGTATATTAATGTCTTATGTTCAGACTGGTGTTTCTTGCATGTCACTGACATTACCAGTTAGCATTGTATATGCAATTTATTAGTTTGTTTTTGACCATTACATTATTTCGGGATGTTTTTTAGAATCTACATTTACAAACACTAACATTTATGTCAGCAAATAACCAGAATTAATCACTATAAGATGTTTATTAAAGTTTTTTTTTATACTAGACTTTAGTAAGCTGACTTTCCAGATTTATTATATAATTGGTTAATAGCCTTCAGACATGATCACTTCCTCCAACCACTTTCCTGCCAGACCTGATTCCTTCTCTCAAACTACTTGGCTCCCAGTCCTGATCCAGACAATAACCATCCAGACCAGATCTCTACCCCAACCACTTTCCATCCAGACCTGATTCCTTCTCTCAAACTACTTGTCTCCCAGTCCTGATCCAGACAATAACCATTCCGACCAGATCACTTCCCCAACCACTTTCCATCCAGACCTGATTCCTTCTCTCAAATTACTTGGCTCCCAGTCCTCATCCAGACAATAACCATCCAGACCAGATCTCTACCCCAACCACTTTCCTGCCAGGCCTGATTCCTTCTCTCAAACTACTTGTCTCCCAGTCCTCATCCAGACAATAACCATCCAGACCAGATCTCTACTCCAACCACTTTCCTGCCAGGCCTGATTCCTTCTCTCAAACTACTTGTCTCCCAGTCCTGATCCAGACAATAACCATCCAGACCAGATCACTTCCCCAACCACTTTCCATCCAGACCTGATTCCTTCTCTCAAACTACTTGGCTCCCAGTCCTGATCCAGACAATAACCATTCCGACCAGATCACTTCCCCACCACTTTCCATCCAGACCTGATTCCTTCTCTCAAATTACTTGGCTCCCAGTCCTCATCCAGACATAACCATCCAGACAGATCTCTACCCCAACCACTTTC